GGAAGCAGTAATAACCTTGAGGAACAGGAGGAAGATCTACATCCAGGACCACAGTCAGAGGAAAGAAATGTGAATCCAAAGCAAAATTGTAACTTGGAGAAAGTGTTTCAATCTTGACCCTCCCTACTTTCATGAAAAATAAAGGAAGGGGGAGGAGCATACTCAGATCCACAAATTTCTGTTACTGTAATCTTGTAATAAAAGTTGTTTTAGCAGTCGTAACTTTGTCTTCCTAGTCTAAGGATTGTTATTCTGTGGCATCACCTCAAAGGATTGTCATTCTGTGGCATCTGATCTGAGTCACTGTTGACTAGTGCACCACTTACTGCATTGGTTTCCGCTTCGGACTCTCCAGTTGTCTCCTATCAATTGTCACCAGCCCAGAAAGTCCAAGGCAGCAGAAATGGGTGATTCTCATTTCCACCTTCTTCCTGTCTCCTTTGTCTACACTACTTGGGCATTTCCCAAGTTAAAATAATGTTTAAAAAGGGAAGAAGCAGGCCCAGGTAGAAAGGGGGAAGACACGGTCATGACTGAAACTAGCTTGGAGCTGTGGATCATGTACAACCAGCAAACTGAAACTGAGGAGTTCTTGGGCAAAGAGATTCTTACAAGTAGTCCTCGTTTAATGACTGTCTTCTACTTTTTGCAATTATGATGATTTGTGATCAATCCTCACATTTATGATCTTTACAGGTCCATAAAGCAGAGGAAAGCTGAAGTAAGATCATAAGCATTGTTGTGGTGACTGCTTCCTTAATGACCAAATTGTCAGTTCCAATGGTGGTCATTGAATGAGGACTATCTATACTTCAAGAACTGATGGATTGAAATTGAAAATAAGAGGAAAAGCATTATCCTCATTATTTTCGTGGACACTGTAGTGTGGAAAGGTGCAAGGCAACTCCTTCCTCCTTCACAGATAAAAGAGGGGAGGTGTGTTGTCTTCTCCTCACTTACTGGAAGCCTAGGGAGAAGTGGGTGTCAAAAGCAAAAAGGGTAGAAAGAAAAATTGAATATGGAAGGAAACAAAATGTGGGGAGGGGCATTGCTGAGAAAAGCTGGCCAATGAGCAGAGAAGCAGGTCCATCTAGCCCAGGTGTGTCAAACTCGATTTCATTGAGGGATGCATCAGGGTTGTGTTTGACCTGGGGTGTGTGGCCAGGGTGGGCGTGGCCAGCTCGACAGCACTCCTGTCAGGGGCACCTGTGGTGGTCCAAGCCCTTTTTGGCTGCCACAGCCTCCTGCAGTGGCAGAGGGCTGCAGGAGGCTCTGGCAGCTGAAAACAGAGCTTGGGAGCCCATTTTCACTGGCAGAAGCACCGTGGGCCAGTCCCTCGCTGTTTTCAGGGTGGCCCCACAGGCCAGATCTAGGTGGGCCTTGAGTTTGACACCTGATCTAGCCTAACGTTCCCCAAGAACATCAGATTTATTATGATCCCCTTACTTTAACTTCAAACTAAAGTGTGATAAAGCATAACAGATGTTAAATATTGACTGAGTCTATCAAGGAAGCTGGAGTAAGGGGAAGATTCTATTTTAAGATCAGGAGAGCCAATAATACCTTCATGATTCATGAGCTAGGGTGAAGGCAAGGGTGCTGTCATGGGGACAAGGGAATTGGTGCTGTCGCAGGAAAAGTGTGCTGGGGTCAAATGTAAGTAGACACCAAGCTTAGTATCCTTTTCTAAAAGCCTTGCACTTGTGGTCCAAGTCAGCTGTTGATCTCTGAAACTCCTTACTCCTTGTACAGGCTCTAAGTCCTCCTCTTTTCCTGCAAGGCATCAATGGTTATTTATTAATCAGTCACAGCTGACTGTGTCCTAGGTGGGCTGCACATCTCCACCTCCACGTCCTGCTTTCTTCCATTTCCAATTGGCCAGCAAAGGTTCAGATCATGCCGATGCTTTCCTGAACTGACCACAAGCAGGATTTATCACTTTGTGAAGGAAGCTGTGGCTCTCTAAATGATGCCAAATCTTGATTCATAGCAGCTCCAGCCAGCATGGCCAATAATGATGGATGCTGAGAGTTGTTCAAGAACATCTGAAAGGTCAAAGTAGCCCCATCTCTGTCTCTATGTGCGTAATAAGACTCTCCCATAGATGCCAACTATGCATTGACTAGAAACGAGATGGGTGGGCTAATAAGGACATCAGCAGATGGAGGGCAAAGCTTTCCATATATATTTCAGAAAGCTTCTTCCTGGGATGGTCCTCATGTGTTCCAAGGACCGAAACTATGGCTTTAGTAAAGCCACTACTGGCCCACACTTGAGATATTCAGGTCTCAGACTGTTTAAAAACCCTTAAACTGTCTGGGACCGGAACACCTCCTTCAAGATGAATGAGGATGGAATTGCAAACTATCCCCTGAACTGGATCCAAACACCAATGGACTCCATATGAGACCTGTGCTTGTTGAAACACTTTAACAAGACTCTTGAGGTCATCCACACCTAGAAGTCAGCATTTTCTGCCAGTGGAAGATTCTGAACTGTTGCTTAAAGTCAGCACTATTCAGACAATAGAAAAAGCCACAAGCAATAATGAGGTTCTTTTTCTATCCTAAATAGGGCAAGAAGAACCTGGCACAGACCATTTAGAAAGGATATGGGGGGAAATTGAATTGTATAAGAGGGACCAGGAGAACTTCAGGCCAAAATGATGCTATCCTTCTACATTCCAAATATGGCAGCTGGATCTTGGGAGCATAAGCAAGATTACCCGGATAAACTTTAGAGATAACATTCTTGGTGTAAGCATGGAGACAGAAAGCTGTCTTGATATTTTCAGCGTACATGCTGCCTCTGTGTTTTACAGAAAGAATGAGGTGAAGAAATTTTTTGTGTATTCCAACACTCTCATGGAGTAACCAAACCTCACACTAAGAATGTAAGCTTACAGTGACATTCAAATCTGTCAAGCTCCAGCTTTTTAAAAAAAAAACAACAACAATTTTTTCCCAGTCTGCCTGGCTTTTTTACAGTTGTTCCATTTTTGCTTCTCCCTCCCCATCTGTTATCAGCTGGATTTCTGAAAAAAAATGAAAGATTAGCTTCAGTTTTCTTTGATGTGCATGGTTAAAGTGGCAACTAGAATAATTCATTCTCATTATTCATCTTTTTTGTGGAAGCCAGGGAAATCTATTATTTCAGGCAGATGTTCTCAGTGGCAGTGGTTGAATTAAAGACATGATGTTTTAATGAGCAGATTCGTTAAACCAGCAGCATCTTTTTTTCCCCCAGTTCTGCAGAAGCCTGGAAAAAGAAGTGCTTGCTTTAACAAATAGCAAGGAAGCAACATGCCCTACAAAGTCTTATCACTTTCTTCTAGACCATTTTCAAAGTGTACACAACTCTCCTCTTTGGGCTTGCAAGATACTTCTGCTCATTTGTAAAAGATAAATTTGAGTTAAAGAAATCTGAGATGAGCCCAATCATTTTTTTGGAGGGAGAAGGCTTCCAAAGCAGACCACTGATGACAAAATGTGCACATTATGGCAATCCAAAACTCTTAATAGCTAATCTAATTGGAGAAGCACCATGATAATACAATCACAATGTCTAGTCTAACTTTGCAGTCCCAAAGATATATTGCCATCCAAGCTCAATGTTAAGTAGTTGTCCATCTGCATGTAGCAAATTAAAGAAGTCTAACCTGGAAGCTACAGAATATGGACAATTGAGGTCAAGCTTAACTGCTTCAGGTCTCAGGGATCAGCCGAGAATTTTAGGTACCAAAATATACCCAAGAACTTAACTTGGCATGTTTTGTGAATGAAGATACTAGCTTATTTATCTCACTAAAACACACTGAGAATTGCTAGTTTTACCCCTTAGTACAGTGTTTCTCAACCTTGGAAGCTTGAAGATGGGTGGACTTCAACTCCCAGAATTCCCCAGCCAGCGCTGGAGATTATCTGCCTGACATGCTTTTCTTCAAACAGTTTGATCCTGACCACCATCCCATCCTCCTTTTTTCCATCTTTCACTTCCTCCTGTGCCTTTATTGTTGCTGCTGCTGCTGTTGCTTGAGTACTGTTACATTTATGGAGACAGGTGGTTTATCTTCGGTGGTAATTCTTTTTGGCAGAACCTGATCATGGTTGACTTCATGACCTTCTCCAATCTCCTCTCCCAATCCCCTTCTCCCAATCTTTTTCTTCAGGGAGTGAAAAAAAAGGAGATAACTGAAAAGTATCTCAGCCTTTTATTACACCAGTAGGAAATGCTTGATGATGTGTGTCATGAGGTTCACATATTGATTATGTGATTATTTTAATGGGTTTTAATATATGTTTAAATTATGTATTTATACATTTTTGTATTTTATGTATGCATATTTATGTATTTTATGTTTTATTGGGTTTGTTTTTATTTGTTGTGAGCCGCCCTGAGTCCTACGGAGATAGGGCGGCATACAAATTATATTAAATAAAATGAATAAATAAATAAAATAAATATGTGTCACTTGTAGCTCATATGAACAGGGGACAAACTTTGCATACCTGCCATTCAGTGCTGGGCATTTCCAGGTAATGCCCTTTAAGTGGCTTTGGAATGCTATTTTCAACTACTGTAGACCAGACATTTATAGGGGGCTAATATTATAATACAGTGTCTAAACCAAGCAATGTACTGTATTGATAGAGTACTTGTCTTAAAAGATATGTTACATTTGCTAAAGGTACAGCAGGTGATTTTGAATCTAGAGAAAATAGTTTGAGAATTAGTAAAGAATCAAAGTTGGCTGCTCAAATTCTCAATTCAGTACCTGCCCTTCATCTGAACCCTCAAGAAATCTTGCAATGAAGTGATACACAATATGTAAGATTGGCCTAGATGGATAGACCTGGAAGAAGACCCCACTTTGTAGATAGAATTCACATACCATGCATGCTATGTGAGTTTTGTTAACCATGGTTTGTTGGATAGGTCACATTTGCTAGAAATGGTCACTTGATGGCCATTGTGTCATGAAATGAAATGCTACGCATAACTAATTTTACCACAATTATACTTTTAATAAAACTTGAACTGGGGAAATGGACAATTTTTAATAAAATCCATCATCAACCTTGAATAGAGCAGAGATGTACATTTAAGAAGGAAATGCAAAACTGATACAATTTGTGCACACTTGAATTCCCTTTATAAACATCCTTGCTGGGACCCAAACCATATGAAAAACACTTGAAAGGACAAATTTTGCTCAGTGAGGAGAGGATGAAAGGTTGTCAGAAAGCTGCCTTCAGATGCAGAACATGGAGCGGATTTATACTGCATTAGGTCAGGCAGGTCGCTCCTGGCTGGGGATGATGGGATTCTGTAGCTGAAGAAGATAGGAAAGAACATTTACCAGATCACACTCCACCATCAAGACCAATCTATTTTACTTTTTTAGATTTTACTTTTAGTCTCTAAGCAGGAAAAGCCAAGGAAGAAAAACATAGAAGCGTCTGCAGACAAAAAGGCTCCGCCACCCTTTGTTAAGATCACATTAAGCGTTTAGCTTTAGTTTAGCATGTCTGAATTCAGCCACAACAAATCATGGCTTATCAGACAAACCATGGTTCAGTAAATCACAATTTAATGTAATGTGCAAATCTAGTCAATATGGGCAGTGTAAATTCTTATTATGCAAGCCATAATAATTTTTTTTTTAAAAAAGGCTCATTTGAAAATCCATTTTATCCTTGTTTTAGCTAACTGAATGCCTCCAGGAATTAGTTTGAAATGTTACATATTTGACTTCTGAATCATTTAATTGAGAATTAGGCTGCCTCTGGTGCAGACCTTTTCATTTTGGTTGTCCCACTCTTTTCAGATCTTTTAGACAAAGGTAGATCCTTAAGTATCCAAAACAGTAGCCAAAATATGCCCTTAAATAAATTAGTTTCAGGGGTGGAGCACCACATTTTGCAAAAAAAGAAAAGAAAATAAATATTTAAAGGTTATATTAAAGTCAATGAATATCTTTTGAAAAATTGCAGCCTGGGTTGAGAATGTTTAATAGCAGTGTCAGTACTGATCAAGGAGAAGTAAAATAACATCTCTTTTATGTATTTTATGTACGGAGGCTGGCTTAATACCATAATAAGGATTATACAAAACATCTATCATGAAGGACATATTTGCATTTATTCCAACTCCACAACTGAAATAGGTAAATCATATTTTACTTCACTGTGCAGCCTGGTTTGAAACTACTTGCTGACTTCTCCACTGAAATTTCCAGGACTGTAGCAAAGCTTTGCTCAATTGCAATTGCAGTTAGTAGATTCCAGGTTTGCTGTTAAGAGTGCCAACCTTCTATATCCTTTCTCTTTATTTTTATTCTATTTTTATAGAGGGTTGCTAGAATCTCATCACTACTCTTTCTGTAAACAGCTTATTCTTCTAGACTGTTGTATTGGGTCTTTGGCTGTAAATTCATCAAGCAAGTAAAGGGATAAGCAATGACAGTGGGATGCTAATTGAATGCTAGGGATGACAGATCAGAAAAATCAAAGGAAAGCTAGAAAGGATTAGAGTATCCTGAAAGAGGGCATATAGCTGGCTAGAAGACTGAATACGGGAACACCCAGACTGCAACAGGTTAAGGCAACTTCAGTCACCACCTTCTTCTGCACATAAAATAAAAGCAGGCAGACACACATTTTATCTTCCACTCAATAACCAACATTTGCCCATCCAGAAAAAGGGGCAAAATGCAAGGAGTCTGTTGGCTACTAGACTGGGCTAAGTAGCAGCTGCCTTTGAGAAACATCATAGTAGCTTACTGTGAACAGAAGTTGCCAGAGAAACTTGGATTTTCTTCTTCCCAATCTGGTTTGGCAGCGAAGGAACATGGAAAAGCAGCCAAGGCTGACAGCTGTGGTAGGTCACTTCTCCATCTCCCCACAGTGGGGTGGAGGAACAGCACAACTACTTATCTGAATCTAAGGCACCGATGTGGCAAGCTATTCTTCCTTCCAGAAAACTACAGATCCCAAACATCCCTGTGGGACACTCTGTTATGAATCAGTCTTCCCCAACCTGCTACCTCCAAAGCTGCTAGGTTGCTGAGAATTTCACAAGCTGCATGATCCTGTCTCTGGAGAAGGCTGTTCACCCAAATTAATGGGGGAGGGGGAGTGTTTCCTAGAAGGGGGTATGAGAAAGGTAAACATTGATGGCACACTGCCTTCTATATCCCAGGTTATTGGAGGTTTTGCCTTTGGAAAGAAAAAGGGACGTTGGGAGTCCAGTGTATGAATTGTGTACTAAGACTTGACCCTTTCGTCTATCTTGACATTTGTCACTTGGTAAGAGGATTACAGCTGGTAGTAATAAAATAAATACAAGTAAAATATATTCTTCCCTTCCTCTTCTGATAAGGTTTTCCTTTCAAGATTCAGTCTGTTAAATGAATGGATTGTTTTTAAAGGGCAGGGTCGCTGGCAATGCAGCCCAATAGTAACAACAAGAACTTTACATACATCTGGAAGGTAGCAGCTGGAGAAGGCTGAGGTATGACAACCTTCATGTCTGCTGCCACCTGCCTCCCCCAACCCATTCCAGCCTTCCCCCAACTTGTAGGAGAAGAGAAGGCAGAGCTGGGGATCGGAGTTAAGTGCTTCATCAGCTTAGAGTTATTATATTCCCACAAATGCTCTAAGTCCAAGCCCTCTTGAATTCCATTGACCCTTATCTGGTGCCAATTTAGTACTGAAGTTTAATTGACTAGTTTCTTGTGTATAGGCGTGAGCAATATATCTTCTGAATTGCAACTCCTGATCCTTTGCGCCTGGCACAACTCTCCCTTTTGCCAACCTTCATGTCTACTGTCATCTGCCTCCCTCAACTCACTCGTTGTTCCCCCACCTCTCCCTTACCCTTCTGCTCTCATGGTCCACCAAAATGATCACCACCCAAGTGGAGCCAAATTGATCTTTCTATTGGATACGGTGCTTAGCAAGTTAAGCCAAACTCCAGCACTTAAATCAAAAACAAAAGTCAATGCCACACATAAGAAAAGACAAGTGTGTCTTCCTTTAACATTCCCCACACATCAGAAATACTGCCTGACAAGAGCAACCTTCAAGCTAGAGCAATGTGATGCCCCTGTTTTATGGCTAGGATATTTGGATTCTGAATTGTTGGGATATTTTTCCTGCAGAAGCCACAAAGAGGAATGGCCATTTCTGGAGATGGGCTTCTTAACCTCTCAACATTTCACCTGGAAAGGAGAAACTAAAAAATGAGCTCCTGCTCAGTGTCTGAAAGTTATCAGTCCATTTCTGAAAAGGAAATCAAATAAGAGTTTGCAGCTGCAACAGAGACACAGTAACAAAAGCTACTATATAGTGGGTTAGATTATCTGTCTAAGCCAGCATCATCGGCACTGACTGACTGCTAATGGTCAAAAGGAAAGATTTCCTAGTGTTGTCATAACTCTGATATAAAAATAAAACAAAAACCTGACTGCATAGCAGCAAAGAGTTGGGGTTTGGCATCTCTTTTCAGCTTCTAGTAGGCATCTGGAATTCTGCAGCCCAGTTCTGATAACCTCAGGATGTCCTATTCCCTGTCCCTTGATTCTGGCTCCAGCATACAAGGTATGTTTTGCACCAGCTCTGTTCACAGTCCAGTAACTGAAATAGCTACCACAGGATTCATTGGTCATTACTACAGTAGTTGCAAATCCTCTTCTGAACACACTTATTAGAGAGCAAGACTCAGTGAAAATAGTTAAGATTTTGCTTCCAAAGCAAACAAGTAAAGGATTCTGACAGGAAATATTTTCACAACCCTTCCAGTTTCTTTGTAGCACATTAGAGGAGAAGAAATGTAGACCCTTCCAGAAAACAATTTTGGACTCTTCCTGTCCCCCTCCCCAGATGCCATTCACTCTCTAGTCAGATCTCTTTCTATCCCCACTACCATTCCCAACACCTACTCTTCCAGCTGTGGACACAAAGTGATCTGGGTGCCTTGGAGCTGGGTTTCCCCCAGGGGACGCTGGGTGCAACTGTGCCCATTGCTGGGCAGATACACATGCTTTGTTTCCTCGGTCCTGTTACTGGAGCCACTGCTAGTGCTACCAGTGGCCAAGTCCTCCTCTTCTTCCTCCTCCTCCTCTTCCTCCTCTCTGGAAACTGTAGCAATGGATTTGCTCTCCCCGGAGCTGAAGGCACAAAAGCATCTCTGCAGGTCCTTGGAAAAAGCATGAAGCTGGGAATCAGATCTCCTTGGGCAACACAAGAGTTTTTTGAAGGCACACCTGAAGTCAGGACTGCGGCAGTAGATGATGGGGTTGAAAGCTGAGTTGACATAGCCCAGCCAGTTGAAGAAGCGAAAAAGCGGGTCAGGGACGAAGGATCTTGCAAAGACCTTGATGATGTTGGCCACAAAGAAGGGCAGCCAACAGAGAGTGAAGACACCAATGATGATGCCCAAAGTCTTCAGGGCTTTGTGTTCTTTGATGGCAATCAGAAGACGGGAGGGCCTCCTACGGCGGAAGCCTTTGGATGTATCCTGAAGGAACCTCCCCTTGTCCTTTTCAATGACATGAAGTTGCCTGGTAGCGATGGCAAAGACCCGGGCATAGACAAAAATCATGACCAACAGAGGCACGTAGAAAGAGATGATAGAAGACAAGATGGCATAGGGCATGTTGGTGACAAAGTCACAGCATAGAGGATCCTTGTAACAGCGCAGGGCTTCCACATCCGCCCCATCCCGCCACCAGTGGTTCATGATGGGCAAGAAGGAGATGAAGGCAGCCACGGCCCACACCAGGCAGACCACTCCCCGTGCTCGGCTCTTGGTCATCAGCATCTCATACTTCAGCGGGGCCGTGATAGCCAAGTATCGGTCCACTGCAATGACACACAGGGTCTCGATGCTGGCCGTCACACACAGCACGTCCAGCGAGGTCCACAGCTCACAGACGGTAGTGCCATACAGCCAGTGGCCGCTCAGAACCAGGGTAGCCCCCGGAGGCACCACCAAAAGTCCCATGACGAGGTCAGCGCAGGCTAGAGAAGTGATGAAGATGTTGGTCATGGTCTGCAGGCGGGGGGTCTTCGCAATGGCCACCACCACCAGCAGGTTGCCGGCCACCGTCACCAGCACGGCCAGGCTGAGGGCTGCTCCGAGCGCCCCCTGCCGGCTGAGGCTGCTTTCCGCCCCAGAGCAATTGGTGCCGTTGCCCCCCAAGGCCGCTTGCTCTGCCGCCCCCGGCCACGTCCCGTTGGGGGGCCACGGGGGAGCCATGGCAGGGAGGACAGGCTGGAACCCGGCTTGCCGCCCTCCGGACGCCGGGAGTCCGCCAAAGCAGCTCTCCGCGGGACTCTCCAGGCGCACGGGACCCCCGGCCGCCGCTTAAGGCTCCGCAGCCCAGCCCCTGCTCGGGGGAAGACTGAAGGCGCCTCGGAGGGGCAGCACCGCCCTTCCCTCGGTGGGCACTGCTCAGAGGAGGAGTTCTTAAAGGCGCAGGACCCAGAGGCGGGACGCGGGCGTTGGTCTCCGGCTCTCCGGGGCCTCTGTCCTCCCCTCCAAGCCGCTCGCCCTACCGCCTTGCCGGAGCTTTTGACTTGCTTCGTGCAAAGCCCCGTTCATCCTCGGCGAAAACTGAGCCGTCTCGCCGGACCCTCCCCATCTGCAGAACTCTTCTGCCTCCCACTTCCCTTGGCATGAAAGGTCGAGGGAGCAATTCAAGCTGGAAGAAGGGCCAATGGCCGAATTAAATGAAGCCTCGCTTTAGCCTCCCCGGGCCACCTGAAGCCCCGCGCCGTCCAAAGCAATGAGATTGGCGGTGGTCGTCCCTTTCTTCAACCAGTCCTCGGTTCCTAGGCTCCCTGACACCTTTCCAAGGTCGGGGGTGGAGGAAGAGCGGCAGCGTTCACGCAGCCTTTGTTGCAACCGAGGTCCGCCGCTCCGCAAAAACTTCTTCCCGAGCCCTGAAACTTCGTTTTGATACTTAGGGCTCCCTTCGGCGCCCACTTATCGCTAGGCCGGCCTTCTGTGACAGCTCCCCTCGAGGGCCAGGCGGGCTGGGGGGTGAAGGTGGAAGGGTTGCAGCTTGGCCGCCCCCGCGGGCTCTCCTCCGCTCCCTTTTGGCGTGGTAGCACAACACCTACAGGGTCGGGTGTGGGGAGCATGGCATTGACCGAGGAGGGGGGGGGAGTTTCCGTACCAGGGCCAGCTACCGTTTGCCCTTCAGGGTTCTCGTAAAGCGGGAAATTCGGTTGCATTTGAGGTGTAAATAGGTCATCCCCGCAGAACTTCCGACTTCAAGCCCACCGGCTTCCCCAGCTCAAGTTACCGCACTAGGGGAAACGTCTGGCCGGCTAAGCGTCACCTCTAATTCCGCGCAATCGCTCCCGTTCTGCTCCCCCCAGATCAATTGTCTTTTTTTGTCTCTCTCCCCCTCCCCACCCTCTGATAAGATCCGAAGTTTCAGTGCGTGGGAAGATTCCACCCAAACTGCAGCGAGCTCCCACCGTGGTCACCTGTCCGTGATCAAGCGAAGACGGAACTGGGGGTGGGGGGGATTCCTCTCTCTGGCTCTCTTTGGTCGCCCCGCAATGCCTCCCCTGGCTACTGAATTCTGCCGTTGGCTGACTTTATTCAATGCTCGAAGCATAGTCGCGCCGTACTTAACTGAGCCCGAGTTTGCGCCCTACGCTGAGACGCCGAAATGTTATACGAGTTCAGCCTCTACGGCAGATTTAACTGACTTGGTTGAGCTGGCAAGCTGTTTTTCTCCCAAATCCATGCGCAAAACCCAAGCAATAGGGAGAATGACTGGGTCCACTACAGCAGTAGATGGCGAAAACACCCTCGTGACAGCTTTGCCCTGTCCCCCCCTTTTCTCTTAGGGAGACAGACCAATTTTACAGCGCAGTCCCAAAGTAACACAATCAAACTTGCGGTCACGTCCTAATGCAGCAGCTGAATGCAGGTTAGTCCCTAGTCTCTAGAACACAACTGGAGAAAAGACTTTTAGTTTTTGACAGCTGCAGGTTTCTCCCCACCATCCCAACCTCCCCCTTAAACCTGATGTTAAGCTTGGGGATCCAATGTCAGTCAGTACATTTCTGGCTGAGAAGAAGAGGACGTAACCTTTTCTCCCCTCCATAGATGCCCACAACTCTCCCAACACAGATTCTTTCATCTCCTCATCACATTTTTCTTCTGGTGAGGAACAAGGAACCTGATCTCAACTGGGATTAGGATGGCAGAGGACCATCTCCATGCTGGGTTCACACTTTCAAGCTGATGCTCAACCTGGCTGACTGATATGTCAGGAATGGAAATGCCAAACATTCTTTCCCAGCAAAAAATTCTGGGAGCTCTAGTCCTCTCAAAACTAGACGGGGCCAACCTGCTCTAGAGGGGTTGGTGGAGAAGCAGTGACACCTTCAAATTAATGTCTAGTATGCTCTCTGCCTGCTGACTATAGACCAGTTTTGACAGAAAGTAAGTTCAGGAAATTGCTAAGATTGCCTATCCTAAAAGGAAATCAACCCTGACTGTCCTTTGGAAGGACAGATGCTGAAGCTCAAATACTTCAGCCACCAAATGAGAAGAGAGGACTCCCTGGAAAAGACTCCCATGCTGGAAAGATTGAAGGCAAAAGGAAAGGATGAGATGGTTAGATAGTGTCACTGATGCAATGAACATGAGTTTGAGCAGGCTGCTGGAGACAGTGGAGGACAGAGGACCCTGGTGTGCCAAAGTGTGTCCATGGGGTGACAAAGAGTCCAGAATGACTTAGCAACTGAACAACAACAACTTGATTTGCATAAAGAACTTGGCTCTTGCAAATTAAGATGTTTCGATGGTGGGCTGATTCTTCTTCTCTTTTGTTTCATGCAAGATGAGGGTCATGGCAGGAAACATGTAGATTAGTTGGAAAGAATGTCTACAAGTAACATGACTCAACTCCTTTTTACAAGTTTGCAAGTGCTCCTGGACAAGATGGGTTGGAAAAGGAATCATCAAATAAGGACATGAAAATAAAGGGCAGAGGCTTATTCTGAGGGATTCATGCTCTGTTGCAGGATAAGCATTCCAGACTCTTTAGGGTATCTTTACAGAACAAATGTTATGTTCTTGGAGAATGCCAGAGCATCAGGAGGCTCCAATGTTTTTGTGACAGCAGTAGTTCGTCCCAGCTGAAGGCTAGAAAATATATTTACAATAAATATATGAATGAATGAATAAGCTGCATGTCTACATTCATAGGAGGAATTTGCTTGTTGGTCAAACAAGACTTTGAAATTACTTCTCTTGTAGTCTTTCTCCACCATAACTAAAACTAGGAGCCTTTGTGTCTCTCCAGTTTGGAGAAATTGAACACAAAGGTTGTAACCAATGCAATGCAATGCAAGACAAACAAACAAACACCTACATGTTTTTCTACCAATTCTCATTAAAGTCATGGAATGTGTGAAATGTCATCACTTTCTCTGAACGGTCATCTCTCCACAGTTGGTAGCTTCTCTGGCATCTTACCCTTTAATTAAACTCTTGAAGTAGATTTCATGGAGAACATCCTGCCATGGGAAAAATGTCGGTAACCAGGGAGACTTTGGAGTGACGGAAAGATCGGGAAAAGTAGTGGTAGCACCCTCCCTTTCCTCCATCAAATTAGTTCAAAAGTACCATGAAGAGAAGTTTGATAGAAACATTCAAGTATCCCGAGAATAATAGACTCCCTTTTATAGAGAGGCAAAAATCCTGAAAAATTGCTGCATAGAACTTGCTACAGCATTAATTGTAATATGGGCTTTTCTGACACACATAACTCTATCCTGATTCATTAATACTGTATATTCTGAGTTATCGTAAAATGAATTTTGCTTGAATTCTGAAATAACTTATTTTATAACCCTGAAATTATATTTTATTGCTCATTATAACACATCATTGCTCTGGATATACAGACCTCTTATCACTTAGTTTTGCTTTGATAGGGTGTTTTTTTTAAACAGACACATTACATGGACACACAAAACTTCTGACCATAATAAATATATTTTCTGTCCATTGCTTTCTTTGGTGATCAAACATTTTCTAAATATAGCCATTCACTTAAAGCTTTATGGACTCTTCTCATTGCAGTATTATGCATTTGTTCTGTAAAGTCTCCTCTGAATGCATGGCAGAGCATATGGGTTTAAATCAGGGGAATGCATTATCAGCAGAATAAGTGACAAGCTTTCTAAACTGCTGGCAAAAGAATGACTTAAGTTTTCAAGTGTTATTATTGTTTGAGACCCATTACTTATTTAATGGATCTACAATATAAGAGTAACACTTAAGCAGAGACTAGATTCAATGCATTCTTCCCGGATGGGATTTTCCCTATAAACATTTGTCATTCCCTTGTGAGACCAATAACATTTCTCTTTAAAGCTGGAAGCTGGCAAAAGCTCTTTTGCTTAAATTCAAATGGTTTTTACAAGTTGAACGTCGGCAGTCAGAAATATGCAGCCCAATAAACTTGTTTGACAGATTTTTTTTCCTCCCTGCTTTGCTAATTATTTGGAATGCTTCTCTGTTATAATGGCATTATTTCATAGCTATTGCATAGAAAACATAAAGAATAGAGAAACAGGAGATGGCAAATATCTATTTGTCCATCTATTTAGATGTTCTTCATTAGTTGGGGAGATGACTTTGTTGTTAATGAAGGCTAGTTTGCTGTAATAACTTTCAACTTCATCTGTATTTTTTTTAAAAAATATTTTTGGCCTCCAAAATCTCCAAGAGATTTCAAATGTCATTATTGCAAAAGCAGAATAGTAGTCTAAACTTTTTCAACATTTTCCTTCCTTCCTTCCTTCCTTCCTTCCTTCCTTCCTTCCTTCCTTCCTTCCTTCTTTCCTTCTTTCCTTCCTTCCTTCCTGATCAAAAATTAAGAATAACCAGGCAGAGTAGAGATGAAAAGGGAGCCAGAGGTAACATATTCTAAATTCTTAATAACAATAAAATAAGTTCTAAGAAATGATCTGAAGGCATTGAATTCAAAGTCATCATGAAAATTAACTGCACAAACAGAAATCATGGGAGGAAAAAAAAGAATCAACTCTGGGAAATTGGAAGCCAGATTTCTGCACAATAACAGCATATTTCTATTTCGATGTATTACTAATACATCCAACAGCCAATACCATAATACCTTCCAAGCTCTTATATAAACATGATCCATTTATTGTATCTGATTTTCCCATGATGGAGCATTTTTCCCCTTGAGAAACTGTTTTTGTGTATATGTGTACTTCTCTTTGTATGGGGACAACATGTTCTGTTCTTGTCCAGGCTCATTCTAAAGCCTCTGAATTCCATACTCAGCAGTGCTATGGAAGTAAAGATATTTTAAAAACCAAAAAGTCTGCTTTGATTTTGTGATCCTCTTCATGGAAATAAGCCTTACAGAGTGGCAATGGGAGTTATTTGCAAGTTAAGCGGGAAATGTAGAGTGGTGGCCTTGGTGATAGTCGAAAACTTTGAAATGTCTCTGTTTATAATTGTGAATAAACTGGGAATGCT